TCAACTCTTTCTGATGTCGAAGACGCGCAGGAAAATACTCGGTGTTGAATGCTTCTAGAAACCAGTCCCAAGTGATGGGAATAGGTAATGTAGTCTACTTGAGCTCCCACCAGTGATCGACTTCACCCACAAGTATATACGTAAAAAGGATCACCTTCTACCCGGTGGTCATGCCTAGAACTCTAAATACCTTTTCAATTGCTTTCAACCATCCCTCAACCTCAATATAATTCTTTGTACCTACAAATGTTAGAGGATTAAGTCTCATAAACATCTTGTGACAACATGGATCCATAACTAGTGGTTCTAGATCACGTGGGGCTGGTACATTGGGAGGACCAGGTAAATCTTCTCTACCTTTTCTAGGCTGATTGGTATTGAAAATCCCATCAACCATGTGATATAAACGATAAATATCTTCCTGCAGGGACGTATAATCGGGATGTTACCCTCATGGAGATCCCCCACGTCTCATTTTACAATCGTACATCCATAAAAGAAATGTTTAAAATATGTACCCCGAGACCTCTACGCTTAAACGTGGAGTTGGAAAACTTCATTTGGGCCTTAAGGCCACTTATATTTAACATTTTGCTTATATTTTATAAATACATGCTTTTAAAACTAACCCGTATTTTTGAGAATTTTAAAAAATATATATGTAGGATTTTGATATTTTCATGGAAGAGAGAGGAAAACAACAAAAAGAAAAAAAAAGGAAAGACGGGGAAAAAATCCTCGGTAAGAGAAAAACCCCTAGACATGGGTGAAAACTACCATGGTCGCGAACCTACGCGCCCGGGCATGCATGTCACTTTGCGCATGCACTGTGCGTGCCCATTACGTGCGCTTGTGTGTTCTTAGGTGCCTACATGGCACTACGTGCACAGTGCACCCATGCCCTACACACCAGCAGAGCATGGCACACCCTGCCACGCGGGTCACATCATGGCAGCCTTTCTCTTGCTGCCATATGGAAGATTATGATGTATGCCACATGGCACGCATCTGATAGTTCCCAAAGTCTATAGACTGGGGCCCTTCCCCTCATTTTCCACTCACTTCCATCTTCCTTTTTTCTTACATCCATTTAGAGAGAGAAAGTGAGGTTTTAGAGAGAGAAAGTGAAGTTCTAAGAGAGAAAATGGAGTTCTAGAGAGAGAAAGCAAGGAAGAGATTCGTAGGAGTCACCAAAGGAATTCTAAATGCAGAGCACCCATCCTATGCACTTCTAAAAATCTGGTTATTCACCAAGTGTTGATAAGGGATCTTCTATTTTTGTTTATACCTCTAAGTACCCTCTTTAGATCAAATAACTGAATTATGATGATGTATGATATTGTTTACTACCTTATCGTATTTTAAAAACATGTGTACCATTGTGTTACATTTTGTTGATCTGTCTTATATTCGTTGAATTTGGATATGATGGCCTTGTGCCGAAGTAAGAAAAAGAAAAACACAAAAACATTCATTAGGTTGTTATCTATGAGAGGTTTCTGTCTTTGTTTCTATTTCTGCCTCTATCTCTGAATCTGAATCTGTTGGTGAACTGCTCTCTGTGAATGATAAGGGTTCCCTCTGGCAAGAGTGGATAGGTAAAACCGTAGGTAGAGGCCATGGTGGCAATGTATGGTCATGGTTATAAACCCCACCTTTATTTGGTTTGGCACATCGAAACGTGTTGAGGCTTGACATGCCAATTGATATAATATGATATGGCGTCTATGACATCTCCAATACTAATTAAGGCATAAGGGTACCAGATATCGATACAGAATACGAGTACATTTAATAGAATATATGCAACAAAAAGTTTTCAATACAAAATCTCTTATAAAATATATGAGTTCCCAATTACATATACAACTACGACCAGAAGTGGTAACAAAATACAAAATACAAAAGGATGCTACTTCTTTCACTATGTAAATGGACTCATCAGAGTGCGAAATAAGATATGCACTCGTCAACGATCATCGATCCATGGAATCCAGGCAAGCTTCAAGAGGTAACTCGGTGGACAACTCATCGCGAACATCCTCTTAAACATCATCTGGGAGGGCCCAACATAGAAAGAGTGAGTTCTATAAAACTCAGTAAGGTGGATAATATTAAATCGACATAATTAAGAATTATAAGTTTTTGAGAAATACCTTTTACCACTTACCATTGCAATGATCCATGGAAGTAGGATTAATGTAAGAAAAACATTAATTTAAAAATATCAAGATCATTAAATCAATGTAATAATACAGATAACACATCAAGAGAAAAAATCAAACAAATCAATATAGTCACCGTCATTAAGTCTTTTACCATACTTCACAAAGTACGTTATGACTTTTTATCCGCTGGCTAATATGGACTCCCAACTACCATTGTAGTGATACTAACGCCAGTTTACGGCTTACTCAACCATAGCAAATTTGCAGTTCGCTAGCCCATAGCTGATTTATGGCTCGCCACACCATAGCACGATCTATGATCACGGCCATCCCAACCACTATGGTCCTAAAGACTATGACCATGGTCGTACTTCGCCATAATAATCCTAAGATCTCCTACGCGCTTTCACGCCATCATTCACAGAGAGTTATTATCTCACGTCTTTCCAGATAGGGTGGAAAAAACATAAATAAATAAAATAGCTTAATAGATTAATTTGTATTTCATATATCCATTCATGTAATTCTCTTTTCGTATCAATTTCATCTCAATTTCATTCATGAAATAACAACTAAATCTTTACACAGTACATGTATAATTAAGACAATATTATAATTAATAACTCATCACACCCTCAAAATCATGGCATAAATTTTGCAATAAAATCAATATTCAATTTTTAAACTTAACTAGAAATGCCTCTTAAAATGTGCAAGAAAATATCGATTATCAGTGACTCTTTGTAAGCTAGTCACCCTTTTTTTCTTCTCTTTTTCCTTCTTTCTGTCTCTAAAATTTTTGGTCTTGAGAGTAAAAATGGGTGAGAAAGAATGGGTGGAGAAGGTCCATTATTTATAAAAAAGGAGAACTATCAGATTTGCAACAAGTGTCACAAATTCGTGAAAAGAGAGAAAATAATGACATCATCCGTGCCAGCCGGCCAAGAGGGAGGCACGACTCCCGAAATGGCAGTGTGTGAGACTCAAGGCGTCACTGACACACACAGAGGCTACTTTGCACGCTCAGACAGCGCACTGACACACGTGCAGGGTGAGGTCTACGCATGCGCAGGTTGTCCTGCGCCCCTTGCATCGCACAGGTGCGCGAGGAGCTGCACGCAGAGCATGCGCTAAGTTGCGCACCTGGTGTGCGTGTCTACGCATGGGATTCGCGTGCAGACTGGGCAGCGCATGGGCGCCTGGCTGATGGGAAGTGCGCATGCGCGCTCGCTAGCTGGCCTAGCGCGCGGGCCTACGAAAACACCCTTGTGGGCTAGTTTTCCTACAACACTTCTCTTCCTAATTTTTTTTCCCTTCTTTTGAAATCTTTAATAAATTAAGACATAATAAAAATAACAAAATAATATTAAAATAATAAAGTTTTCAATAAATTAAAAAAAAATAGCATAAATTAAAAATAAAATAAAATAAAATAATATTACACCACAGAAGTTTAATGGCTAAATGTCCGAATAATATGCAGTATTAATACCACATGAAGCGCAGAAGTAGGGGGTGTCATAGCGTCATTCACAGTGGTAGTTGGGAATCCTTTCTGCCCTATTGAAACAGCTTCGTGGAAAGAAAATGAGAAAAGACGTAAAAATATAATTGTTTTTTATGTTTTATTTTTAATTAAAGACATGATTTCTATCTATTTTTCATAAGATTGTTTTTTATATTTGATAATAACTTTCTGATTTTATCTATCTCTATGAATTGTTGTCGTGTTTGATATGTTATAAAAGGTTTTCTTAAAAGAACAATTATTTTATAAATGTTTAAATTATACTTCTGAAACATATCTCCGAGGTATGTACTTATTTGGATAAGCATATTCATTTGAGACTAATAACTTTTAAAATCTTAGCACAATAATTTTAATACTAATTTTCTTATTTTCATGGAACTCAACTTTTCCATGTTAGGACCTCCTAAATGATGATGGCGATGAACCACCCACACTGTTGATCAATCTTAGTTTGTGGCCCTATGATAGATTATATATTCATATATGTTATGATTACCGGAATAGTTACTAACAGTCAGCGTCTTCCCTACACAATTCATTTCACTTCCAGCCACTAACCTGTCACAAAATGATGATTAAGCTACTGCCAATTTACCATAGAAAGAATTGAATTATTATATATACCGTACCAAATAATACTATTAGGTGATCAAGTTTACACGGTGTGACAGCAAGCATCACATGATACACTTGAAATATGGATGCTTGCTTTTCCTTACACTTCCAACAAAAAAAAACGGTTAGACAAAAACATCAGAAGAAAAATGAATTTAAAAAAGGGAAGGAAAATTTCTAGACTACATTACAAAATGAAACTATGTTACACCAAAAAAAAGGGCATCAGAGGTGTGGCAAGATGATCTGAATCAAAAATTAGCTGCCATATTTGATCATATCTCCTGTGATCGTCATTTCTTTGTCCAAACTGGTTGTATTCACTCCGGACGTGGTCAGATATTTGTAAGGCAAAGTAGGCAAATATTCGATGAAGCTTTGCAATGGAGAGAACCATTACTTCATTCAGTCAAAATCCTTTATGCTTTTTAGAACCTGTCCTCCAGAGTATTAAGAAGCCCATCAGGTAAAGGCTGAAATGTCCACAATTTCCGATTCGTTTAAATTAATATCATGAGTCATGAGAGCCTTGGACCATCAAAGTAATTCGCTTAGCACTGTCTCCACGAAGGCTATCTCCTTTAAAACCAATCTGGGAGGAGAAATCATTTTCAAGATACCTTAACAAATTTGCTTCAACAACAATCATGCATAAGCTTTCAGAAAAAGCAACCTTCACTCAAGAACGAATTTGGAGAGAACATACAAATTCATTGGCAAATTATTACCTCACTTGAAATATCAGGGGAGAACCACCGTAAAAGAACCCCAAGATGTACAACAGCAGGTATCAACTTGAAAAGTAATGGTGTAGTCACCTGCACCACTACTTTGTTAGCTAAGAAGAAAAATAAGTCTTTTGAGACAAAACAAGTAAATGCAAATAGTTCGAAGAATGTCTAAATTTACTCTGAAATTGGACGATATCAGCTGAAAAATAAACTACTTTCATTCGGAATTTGATGGAGGCTATCTAGTAGTTGTACTAATATAGGATTACTATTATAATTTGTATATTTTAGCAAGTCTGTTATATTTTCTTGAAGTTGTCTCTTATTTAGTTAGGATCCTTATTTTATTATTCCTTTACTTATTTAAAAATTCTAGTCATAATATACTATATCGACATTCTATAAGTAGATGGGTCTTCAATATTATTAAACAGAGTGCTTACAAGTAAAAACTGTTGTCTCCCATTGAATTGAATGTCTAATAACCATACAGTGATAGCTTGACCATATCCTATGGTTGCGGTTGTTGCTACCCTTGTGATTATGGATTGGATTTATTCTTCTTTTTTTTCCAGGGTTTCTAAATCCTTTTTCATACATTAAATTTTCACCTATCTTATCTCTTTAATTACTTGCCTACCCACGTCTATACGCTTAGTACCCACATGGACAATTAAGTTATTGGACCTTAGGGTGAGCATCTAGGTAGGTTTTAGTTTACGGTACTTCTATGATTTACATAATGTATGTATTAGTTTTACATTTCTTTCCACTCCCATTATATATAGTTATAACCCATGCAGATATGAATTTTTTCCAAATTGAATTATGAGCTGAAATAAGCCTTCTCCAGGCAGTCTGAGACAAAATTTGGTGCAAAAATTGAAGCAAGCTTCAATGCTCTACTAGAATCATATGGAAACAAACTTAAAATCTTGGATCTCATGCCATTATGAATTGTAAGTCTTCATTGTAAGTCCATATTTATACACAAACATGCAACTGACTTAGCTCGGGGATGAAAATAAAAGGTGAACAGTGCTTGTTTAGTTAATATGGTTTCTATGTTTGCTGCTGCTAAGTTAGATCTTAAGATAGAACCACATCCAAATCCTTTTAAAGTTATTTTGAAGGATGACACCAGTTCCACAGTCACTTATAGGTGTAAAGTTCGTATTTAGACGGGAATTTATAGGTATGGAATTCAATGTGATGTTTTACCTACACTCATTTTATTTTTGGTTGCAATCAGTTTTATGACCTTGGTCTAACAATCTATGAAAAGATGAACTACATGTTTAAATATAACTTTTAGGAAAGCAATAGTTGTTAACCTTCTGAACATATTAACAAGAATCCCGAGTCAAAACCTAAGATTGTCCCTTCCGACCAGAAAGGATGCTCACATTTTGAGCAAAAATGATCCTAAGAAAGAAGTCTTGGATGCTCACATTTTGAGCAAAAATGACCTTAAGAAAGAACAAGTCTTGGATATTGAAAAGGTTTTCCCTTATTCTAATCATCTAGCTCTCTTGAACATACGGGTGACATTACGATGTAGACCGAATAGTAGTTAACTAATCTGTTCAGCTGATAGTTTAGGATTAGAGGAAAATTTAGGTGAGAAACAGAATAATAAAAAATAGACCAGAGGAAATTTGAGATCAAGGTGAAGAAATATAAGGAGAAATAGACTGAACAAGATACAGTAATCAAAAGAATGAACATAAAGAAAGCAATTGCAAAGGAGATATTGAGTGGATGTTTACTGGAGTCTATTGTAGAGGTAATAAAGTGGAGAAAACAAAATTGTGGAATGAATTGGAGATGTGCAGAACTAAATGGGGTGGCAGATGGATAATTGACGGCAACTTCAATTTGACATTAAAAAGGGAGGAAATGAGTAGTAGCAATTTTTCGGTGGCTGATGCTACAGAGTTTAAAGAGGTTTTGGACAAGCTACGGATGGCGGATTTACCGGTGTCTAAAGGGCATTGGACCTGGTCAAATAAAAAAGTTAAGTCCATAATTGATAGATTTCTGGTGTTCTCAAATTTCCTGCTGGAGCTGACTAATGTAAGCCAGAAAACTCTTCCTCGACTCACTTCTGACCACTATCCTATTTGTTTGGAGGCAGAGGGGATTCAATAGGGACCTGTTCCTTTTCGGCTTGATAACAAATGGCTGAAAAGGAATAGTTTCTGCAGTTTGGTGGAAAATGCTTGGTAAAATTGTAGTATCCAAGGCTGTGCCAGTTTCAAACTTGCTTACAAGCTTAGGCACTTGAAATGTGTCATTAAAGTTTGGGTTAAAGAGGAGGTGATGAAAGATAAAAGTAGTTTTGAAAATATCTTGTCTGAGATCAGCTCTCTGGATTCTAAAGAGGATGGTTTCGGGCTAAGTGAAGAGGAAAGAAATATGAGTAGATTAAAGATTCAACTTGCCTCTTATTTAAAGGAGGAGGAACTGATGTGGAGACAAAAATCAAGATAGAAGTGGCTGGAGGAAGGGGACCGCAACACAAAGTATTTCCACGCTTTGGCCTCTCACCAAGGTAGAATTAATTTAATATAGGAGATCATTATAGATAACAAGAAAATTGGGGGGAATTTTGACCTGCGAGAGGCTACAAAAGAGCATTTTACAAATCTGTACTTGGAACCCCATGTTTGTCGGTCAAAATTGGATGGCTTGCCTTGTCTCAATATCTTTGCAGAAAGCAGACAGGGCCTGAAAGAAAACTTTACAGCTGATGAGATTCTTGAGGGGCTAAAATCCTATGATGGTAACAAAGCACCGGGCCCCCATGGTTTTAACATGAGTTTTTTACAGAGTTTATGGTACTTGCTTAAAGAGGATATATTGGCTGTTTTCAATGACCTGCATAAAAAGACACGTTTGTTAAATTTCTAAATACTACATTTATAACCCTTATACCCAAGAAAGGTGGAGCATGTGAATTTAAAGATTTCAGACCTATTAGCTTGGTTGACTGCTTGTACAAGCTAATTGCTAAGGTGTTGGCTAGAAGATTAGTTAAGGTGTTGGGTGAAATTATTGGTGATTGTCAACATACTTTCGTTGGTTGTAGGCAAATCCTTGATGCTGTTTTGGCTGCTAATGAAACGGTTGAT